CCCTCCTGCAGTCTCAGCAGCCAAACAGTGGTGGTGTCATTGGGTAGCAAGACTGCCACTGTGCCTCGGCAGCCTTCCCCACACTGCTGCTGAGCTGAGTGTGATCCACAGAGAAAGTGATTTGCCCCGAACAGGATGAGTCATTTTTCTTGTGTATCAAACACTTTACACCTGAAGTTGGCACTGCTGGAAAAATAGCTGCATGATTCAACTCCATGTTCTGACTGGGGCTGGCTTTGTGCTTCAAACTCTTCTCTAGCAGGCAACTGCTTTCCACTCGCGTTAGGCAGCTGTCTGACATCCACTCTACATAACGTTACACCAAATCAATGTATTTGCTTTGTGAGTACACAGTTGCCACGTAAACCTGTAGTTGGTGGTTGGTTTTTTTTCATCTTGAATTGCAAATCAGGTAACTATAAACAATCACTTTATATGAATCAGAAATTGATGGGGTTTTGCCTCCTTTCAATCCAAGTAGAAATTAGTAGTTTTTTCATATACATGACCCTTTGCTGTTCTTTTAGTGACAGTCTCAAAATAGTCTTAGTGGGTTTTGCTATCATTGAATTACATATGAAAACATAAACAACAGTGTCCTCTTCAGCCATCTCAGTTAGATCCACCCTAGATGGGAGACAAAACCAATAGTATATGTTACCACCAACCTGGCACCTGACAGGTCTGCTTCACCCTTCACATTTCATGAAATGTCCTGCAGAATAGAAAGCTATGTTTTCAAGGTTTATTTGGCTTAATTTTATCATGCTCCCACAAACTGAGCAGTTCCACGAAGAGCAGCACTTCTGCAAGTTGGGTCACTTCACCTCAGCATCTTAACCAGCTTGGTTTGCTTTGAGTATCTTGCCCAGGACCGCTTGCCTACAGCTGTGTCATCACTAGATTTCCTAAGGGTGCGTGGGGATGTTAACTTGCAGGCAGTTTCTGGAAGCAGGAGTGCGAGTCTTGGAGATTTCTGCAGTGCACTGGAACTAGTCGGTCAGCAGCGTGTTTGGATGGTAGCTGCATTATGCAAGGTAGTGTCCTGGCGTGTGAAAGTCATGCTCGTGGATTTATTGTGGTTATAAAACCAACTCAGTTTGAAAAATACATCTTTTTCTTTACCATTTATAATTTCTGCAGCTGCCATGTGAAGACCAGATCATCCTTCTGAAAGGCTGCTGTATGGAGATCATGTCCCTCCGAGCAGCAGTTCGCTATGACCCCGAGAGTGAGACTTTAACACTGAATGGGGAGATGGCGGTGACAAGGGGCCAGCTGAAAAATGGGGGTCTTGGTGTAGTATCGGATGCCATTTTTGACCTGGGCATGTCTCTTTCTTCATTTAACTTGGATGACACCGAGGTTGCCCTTCTTCAGGCTGTTCTGCTCATGTCATCAGGTGAGAAGAGAAATATGTTGGGACCCCAGCCATTTTGAAACTGTCTAATCTTTGTCACAAGCCTCTTTTTAAAAGAAATAGGGTATGTTACATCTTGTGGTGCTGGCTAGAATAATGTGGGAGAAATTCTCTTTCAAAATCCCAGTGCAGCTTAGAGCTAGATTGGTGAGAGAGATGGGCATAAAAGTGGCTTTGGTAACACACCTCGCTCAGTTTATTATTCAGGGAGGAGGCAGGGATGATCATCAGAAGGAAATCAGATCCAATTCTGAGCCAATTTGCCTTGAATGAAAAACTGATAATTTAGCAACATTTGTGCTTACAGTAAGTTCCCTCGTCCCCTAGGTACTGTGACGTACTGGGCAGGAAGTATGGTTCATACACATTTCCATCAGTCTCATGTGCTTAGTTTGACCTGCTGCTGTGGTTTTTTTCCTCCTTAACGGCACCGCTGCTTGCTAACGGGCGTTTGAGAGCTCTGCTGTGTCCCACACTGGGACCATTTGCAACTGGTCTATTGGTGGCATCATACAAAAGCAGCACAGACCGTTCCATATGATTTCCAAAGGGTTTTTTTTCCCTTCTCAGATAGAGTATGTTTTCAAATATGCTTCCACTGACTGTGCCAGCCCAAAGAGGAAATTCCATTCTTGGGCAGTGGCAGATGTGGCAAGATTTTGGTTTAAGGCCACTTTGAAGTTTGGGCACCACATAACAATACACAGACAGTGATTTACAGGCATTAACAGCCTCTGAGACGGAAAGGTTTCCATGTTAATCACAAAACACAGCACTTGACCTTCCCAGTCAAAACATTTTTATTTCTTTTTAGTTTCCTATACAATGACACATGAGTAGGGGTTTTAGAACGCAGTTCAGAGGACCTGCTTTCCCAGAAGTGTCGCCTGAAGAGTGACTTGTGAAAGGAGCTTTCCCAGCACTCGTCTGGGTGCAGGTTGAGACAATCGGCCAAACCTTTGACCTTTGTTCCTCGGTGCTCCATAAGTTTCCTTTGCAGCTCACCTGTGGATCAAAGCTTGAGCAAAGCCTTGGTCAGACTGTAGGAAAACAGGTGGGAAAGGACTGTAATTTAGATATCCGACAAGGAAATATTTTTTTTCTTTATTAGTTGTTTCACAGTAAGATACAGATAGAAGCCTTAGCTGAGATCAGGGATCTGTTGCTCTAGTCACTGTAAGGAAACACTTTCCAAACAGCTATACTCTAAGTGGGCAAAGCGGGCAGGATTTGGAAAGGAAAGGATTGTCTCCGTGTTTTATTAGGGATAGTACTGATACGTGAGGTGTCCAGGGTCAAAGTAGTTGTTTGTGGCAGAGCCAGATATCCTCTGTTTTCATCCTTCCTCTCTTAACAACAGAATCGTCTTATTTTTCCTGATTTATGATCAGGAATTTTTTTAAGTAAATTAATAAGAGCAATAATTCTGCTTCTTTCTATCTACAGATCGCCCAGGCCTTGTTTGTGTCGAGAGGATAGAAAAGTGTCAAGAGGGTTTCCTGCTGGCATTCGAACACTACATTAATTACAGAAAACACCATGTTGCACACTTTTGGCCAAAACTGCTGATGAAAGTGACAGACCTGCGAATGATCGGAGCCTGCCATGCCAGCCGCTTCCTGCACATGAAGGTGGAATGCCCCACAGAACTCTTCCCTCCATTGTTCCTGGAAGTATTTGAGGATTAGAGAGACTGGAGTGGTTCTCCGCACCCCCGTGGCACTACTGGCTGTCATTTCATCCCGTTGCCTGGCTCTTCTCACCTCTGTTTGTTCTCCTTCTTTCGTTCTCTTCTGTTCTTGAGGCGGGGTTGGGTTTTTGTTTAGGTTTTCGTTTGGGGTTGCTGGGGGCGGTTGTATACACACGGATGAAAACATCCCTTTAATGCGGGTACTTGTGACTATTGCAATTTGTTCTTCAGTCCTTTGATGTGAATGCTTTGACAGCTTAACAGTGAAAATAGAAACAGACCGATCTCATTCACCAGCACTTGGCGTGGTCACCAGCTCACACACATCATTGCTTGGAAAATACGGGAGAGAAATTGAAGTGGCAGAAAATAAATTGGCCTCCAAGTTAAAACAATGGTTGTTAAGTTGACCCTGGTGATTCTATCTAGTATTACCTCATTTTGCAGGGCACAAGTGACCAATTCATGAGATGAAAATTCTCATCTTCACGGTTGTTTCTATTGTAGCAATCACCATCTAGGATCTTCATCATCATCATGATCCCATCATTATCCGAGAATTGTTCCAGCAGATGCAGTTTAACTGTGCCCCATAAATCAAGTACTTAAAATAACGCAGAGTGTTAGAAAGGACCGACTCATTTTTTTTCCATGTGTATAAGACAGTAAGATCCTTCAGTTCTTACCATGTTTGAACTCCAGGTAACTTCACTGGAAGGTCTGTTGGAGTAAGGAGGGGAATTTGATCCTCTGAGGTGCTTTTCCTGAGAGTGGAGAGGTATGCTTTTCCTGAGGTGTGTGGAAAATGCAGCACGCTGAAGGAGAAGGCTCTCTGTCACAATAGCAGGCTTTCCTCGGAGTTACTCAGGGATGTGAATGATCACAGAATGAGGACAAGGAGAACGAAACATACGGGGTGACCTTCAGGTGGGACAGAAACCAACTGTGTTATTTATGACACTCAAGACTGTACAGCTTTATCCCAGTAATACAAATAGTGTTGCTTGGCAGTAATCTTTTGGGTTTTATATATATATATAAAGTTTATATGCACGTATATATATAATTTTATATATATATAATTACAAATCTTCAGCAGATGTCTTAAACATACTTCCATGTTTTTAACTTCTCTCCCTTCTTCTTTCACCCTCTCCTGTGCGTGTGTGCGTTTACGTGTGTTGATCAGCTAGGTTCTCCCTCCTTGGTGTCTGTATGTGTTTCATTTGGCTAGATTCTCTCTTGATTCCTTTAATTTATTTCCACTAACTACACTAGCAGGAACCAAACTGAGCAATGACAGAATGTCCTGCTGCCGAAATCTGCAAGCCAGTACTCACAATCCTGGAATGTTTGGAGGCCGGTGATGAGGGCATTATAGGTAGAGGTTCCTCTCTAACATCCATCTCCATTCAAGGGTGTTGTCCCTGGGGTCTATCAACTTGATGTTACACCATTTTCTGAATTTGTATGATATATCAAAAGCATCCTTCTGTTCTTCCTGGGAACCTGAGACTTAGGTCACATATTTCACACTTCTTCATACCCCAAATTCTTTTGTCTTACATGTTCATTTGTACCAGTTTCTTTCTCTGCTATTTATTGATATATTTTCCTGGCAAGTCCATGGGCATTGTTAAGGTGGATGTGTTGACTTTCAAAGCTCATGGCCCATATCTAAACTAGTGTGTTACGTGTTTATCCCCTCATGAAAACATGATACTCAGGAAAACTTATCTTACAGGTGGAACACAGTACGTGTGTGTCAGAGGTTAAATTCTTTTCACCCCTCGTTCCCTACATCATTGATAAAGCATTTGGAGTGCTATTGGCTAAGTTTTCACGGGTGTGGAATCTTGCTCTCCCTGTTTTTTGATATCGTATGCACCTGTAATGAGTTGTGAGCACTGATGTTATCACTTAGGGGTTTGTGTCTGTAATTTTGTGAGAATATAAACCACGATGGAGTGTTCAGGGCTTTTTTTTCAGGTAGCAAGGAAGACAGACCATTGGAAATTTGTTCTTAAATGTTTGGTGAAGTTGAAGAACCTCTGTTGTAGGCTGTGTTTGCTCCATCTCAAAGCATATGCATTAACACCGTCAGTCTCTATCCAAATTCCTTGTAAAGCACTATATCTTGTGGACAAGGAGTTGGAAACTTTCTAGCTTTTTGGAATAAGAGGTCAGACAATGTGATGAATTTGCATGTACTCGTGCAGAATCTCAGATGAGAAGCATCCATAGTCAGCAAAGAGTGCTAGATATCTGATTCGGTGGTGGCTTGATAGGGAACTGGTACCATATAGGGAAAGCGAAAAACCAGCTGATCCATTACACCTATACCCGCAATGGCTTGCAGAGTGAAATGTGCATGTCCTTTGGAGTTCTCTTCTGTCACAGATCTGAGCATGGAGTTCCTCCTGAAGCCAGTTCAAGTATCTCACCTGGTTGCCAAATGTGAGCTTGAGTTAGCGTACAAGTTTTTGGCTGTGCTGCTGCTGAGACCCAGGAGAAAAAACATCACATTTCTCCTAGCAGTATTCACAATGATGTCACTACGAGGTCCATGATGCTTCATGTATTTTTCAGAGCTTCAGTTCCTGCAGTTGTGCTGTTGCTTGGGAGGTTCAGTCTGTCATTAAAGTCAACAATTCTTATCCTTTGGGCTATAAAGAAAATCAGTAGCCTAAATGTTAATTATTTAGGTGGGAAGTCACTACTCAACAGTGACTCAGCTCAGAACTACTGAGGCCTTCATAACTGACTTTTGAACACTTGGTATTGTCAAGACTGCATTAATCAAAAAATAAATAAAGATCAGAGGTTAGAAAAAAGATGTGAGAGTTACTGGATTGACTTGAGGAAGCAGCAAGAGATGAAAGAACTTGAAATGCCCTCGATAGAACCACAATTTGAGACAGTGCTGAGAATTAGCACTTTGCACACTGGCTGCTGTGAAAATAATTGCTCATACAGCAACTTGTCCTCCAAGGTCTACCATGGCAAGTTAAAAAGTTCTAAAACATCCTGCGTAAGTGGATGTCTGAATTGAAGCACATAAGCTGCATTTAGGCATCTGAGCTAATGGCCTGAATTCAAGATGCTGATGTAGTTTGGAGTTGTGCTTAATCAGGGTTCAGCAAATCAGGCCTCCTTCCTTAGGTGATTGCAGATGGACTGAAGTGC